TATCTCCGCGCGGCCATGTAATATCCTCAATATCTAAAACTGCATTTTGGTAAATCGACCAATCTCTTAAGAAATTTAAAGCTATTTCCCTTTTAAGGCTCTCTTAATGTCACGCTTGAAGAAAGCATATGCCAGAGGGTTAATTGCAGAGTTCAGAACCAACATAGGTATTCTAAATTTAAAGTCACTTTTACATGAAAAGTCTTGAGTTTTATGCTTTCCTAATAACTGAAGAAAGTCACAGCGCAAGTAAGTTGCGAAAGAAGCTAGAGCGAAGGCAACCACAACTGCCAACATTACAACTGCTGACTTGTCATATTTGTTGAATGTCAAACCTCGGTGATTGAAACGAAGCTGTTTTGCCAAGATGGCGGATGATCGGGTTTGCTTGTATATTACTGTTACCATGGAAATAAAACAAAAAATTAACATGCAGCTGGAGAAAATATCGAGGATCGCACAACATACGGCTAAGACTATCATACGTATCGAAGATGTTAAATATAAACTCATGAAAACAGAACAAATTACAAGACAAAGAGGGAAAACCCAAGAAATTAAAGTTAGCTGGATGACACGTCGAGCAGTCATGAAGTTGACGTACTTCAGTGGCTTTACGACAGCCATATACCGATCAAGTACGAGGCTGCACAGGTTCATTATAGAGGCGCACGCAAAGAGCCACCTTGTAAATTCCACCCAGGACGCATAGGGTCGAGGCCAGTTGCAGCCACCTCTAATTTCACAGAAGAACAGTGAAGGAAAAGCGAACACCCCAACAAAGAAATCTGCCACCGCAAGTGAAACGATTAGCGCGTTGGTTTTGGTGCGAAGCCGACGCCGAATGCCCACAAGAAGTACGGTGAAACCATTTCCAGCTATCGTCAAAATGGAAAGAATCCAACCAAGAATCCAAAACCAAGTTTCCATTTTATATTCGGAACTTTAGCTGTGCGTTCAAGTTTATGTCTTTGAAAGAAACCGGTTTGGTTATTTCATAAGTGAACATCTGCGGGTAACGTTTCCGCCTTATATCTGACGAGCATGACATATCATACGTCAATTTTTGATTACTAAATTGACTTTAGGACAGAAAAAGCATTTAGACCGATTACAAAGGTCGTTTTT